CCCTCCGGGGCCTGGCACTGGGGACACTTCCCTGTGCTCCCGAGCACCGTGGGGCTCTCCCTGCCCATCCGGGGGCTGCTGGTGCTACACTGCTCACCCCCCTGGCACTGGGCATCCTGGGTGCTTCAGTGAGACTTGGGTCACATCCAAGGCTCATCGATGAACACAGAGAGAACACAGTTAAATGTTTAAACACTGGGCAATACTTGACCAAGTCAAGCCATGTGGACAACCTCTCGAGTGGATTAGAAAGAAGTAACAAATAGCCAGTCAGGAGGAGAACTACCGGTCTGTGCTCCCTAGGGGTGAAGGCCACCCCGAGGAGATGTCCCTCCTGTGCCTTGGCTCACAGGAGCCATGGTGACCAGCTGGCACTGTGCTTACAGGCAGAACCTTTCCATCCTTTGGGCTTTGGACCACAGGGCAGCTGGAGGACCAAGGGGTGCCTGGGTTACAGAAGCTGCCGCCAAAATCTCTGAGCACAGATCATATTTTAGATGTTCTATGCACATTGGCAGGAGAGGGAAAGATCCACCCGCTGCCAGGGCTGTATTCCAGACCTCCCAATCTGAAGCTCAGTTCTCTCCCATTACCTGCAGCCCACAGAACAGCTGAGATGCTCAGGGAATGGCTGCCAGGCTTTGAACTCAGCTTATTTCTTTATTCTGCAAAACCCCTCAGTTGGCCTGTGGAGTGCATTACAGAGGGGGGTGAGTGGGGTTCCCTGGTGCAAGGGGTCCCAGAGCTGTACCTCACCCACAGGATGAGCTTCCCAGGGAGGAGCAGGAGCTGCTGAGCGGGCACTGCCCTCATGCCCAGCCCTGGGCAGGCACTCAATGGCAAGAGGAGGTGTTGAGGCCAAGGCATGGCCCAAAAACTGCCCTGGCACAGGGCACAATCCATGCAATAGCCTGGCTGGGGAAAGTGCACTGGAGCAAGTTGTGCCTTTCAACTCTGCCCTGAGGAGATCCTACTCTCTTTAACCTCAGGGAAACATGGAGGAACCAAAGTGAAATTAAAGGTGTTGCACGGAAACAGTACTAAAATGTCAATTAGGGAGTTACTCCACCTGAAGAAATCACATTTTACATATCGATCCTCACCTAAATTTTAAATTTAATACTGTATTTTTAATCTGAATATTGTCCATTGTAAATATATTGTATTTATACCTCGCACAGCTTCCCCAGGGAAGTTGTCAGCATCAAGCCTGATAGAGTTCAAGAAGCATTTGGACAAGACTCTCAGGCACATGGTGTGATTCTTGGGGTGTCTTGTGCAGAGCCAGGGTTGGAATTGATGATCCTGATGGATGCCCTCCAACTTCACCTATTCTATGGCTTAGTTTCACTCTTTTATTTTTGTGACAGAGTCTCTGCCAGTAGCAGCACCCAGACAACTCATTGTGACATGTAGGCCTGAGTTCGCAAGAAGTTCACAGAAACCCTCAGACCCCCACCACACCAAAAAAACGAAAAAATCCCCACCAAACAAAAAAAACCAACCCCAAACCCAAGAAACCAAACAACCTCCACAGAAACACAGCCACGTCCAAAGGAGTTAAACAATTTTTTCCCATACCTGATGCAAAATCAACAAGAGAAAAAAATACTGTTACTTGATGGAGCTACTATAAATACCGTCTTAATTGGATATTCAAGTAATCACAAACATTTGGGACTCAAGGACTTTCTTCAGATGGAAAGATGGTGTTCAAGGCCTGAGTGGGACTGCAAAACAGCTGCACTTGGAAAGGATGTGAACACTGAATTCCCATGAACACAGGTCTCCCCCACTGAGCTGCTCACCTCGCTGCCCTATCCACTCAGAAAGAGGAAGCAAACTAGAACTTGTTATAAGGCATTTATTTTCATTATGTGTTGGAAAGGGACAATCCTCTCTTCAAAACAATTACAGAGATAATGCCACAATACCTACTGCATATTGCTTTACTGTTGAAACCAAAACAATTGTCCAAAACAGATGCTTGGCAAAACAAAAAGAAAATTAATATATTACCATTGAAATGAATGCTATTAGATGAAAACACCATCTCCATTGTCTGATCTGATCAGTCATGCAACTGAAGATGCCAAATAGCAAATATTTTGGGTTTTACAGTAAGCCATGATCTTTAAAGGGTTGATATAATTCTATACAAATTTAAGTACAAAATGGGAATTATGTTTCAGAAGTTATAATGAACCAGGCTGAAGCGAATCACAAGACACATTGTTAACACTGTACAGCTGGATTTGAACACAGATATCAATGGCCTTGCGAAACCGAGCACACGCACACAATGGTCCCCGAGATTCGGCCCTGCTGGGGGGAGGCAGTGCTGGAGACTGAAGGACAATATCCAACACCACTCACTCCCAGAGGGCCAATTCTCTCACAACTGTTGGGATCCCAAGGAATTGTTGTTACTCCATTTTAAGAACGACAGTGTTTTTAGTATGTGGTTGTCACAAGGGTATACACAAGCTGTATCAAATACTGAATCAGAAATAAATAATAAAAGATACATCTAACACATCTTTTATTTTTTAATATTTTTTTACAGCACTGACTTTACAAGAGAATAAACAACTCATTTTTAGGGGCTGCTAACATCTGAAACAAAGAAGTCACTATTTTATACTCAACATATTCTCAACACTTAATAACTTTATATATGTATATATGACTTTTCACACAAAAAAAAAGAAGTTAAAATAATTTATATCTAAAACTACTGTGTAAAGAATGAAGGAGGAAATAAAATGTGGGTTTCTTTAAAAATGCTGGAAGAGGAAGACCTGATTTTCATAAACTCCATTTGCTGTATCAGCTATTTCTGGAGTTTCAAGAGATTTCCTGGCCATCAACAAAAACTTCCCAACACATCGGGAGCCCTCTGGAAACCTCATGACATGTTGGGTAAGGTCACCTGCTAATGAGTTTGTGGGCCACAGGCATCTGCTATCATCAGCCCCAGTGGATGCAGGGTAAGAATGATGGAGAGGAAGAAAACATCACCCCAGATTGCTATTAAAAACCACAGAGTGAAATTCTGGACAACTGGTATCATGATGTCCACTGGCCAGGATTTTACTCCCAAGCCCCACTCTCCTTGCCCTTCTTCTGCATCACAGATAAAGAATGTTTTTATCTCAATGGATTTTGTTATTTCCACAGGAAAGCTGCCCCAAGAGCAAGGTGGACCAAACCTCAAGAGCCACCTGCACACACAAGAGCAAAACCAATTTCCTTTGCTTGCTACAAATGCTACTGTGCTTGTGTTGCTGAGGAATCACTCCAACATCTCCTTTATATCTGGATCCTCCCAAACTTCAACCATCTGAAATAACTTTTTGTGGCCATGTAAATGTGACAGAATCCACGAAACCCATCCAGTCAAAAGCTCAAGTATTGATGGCCTGGATCCACATAGGGTGAACAGTGAAAGGAAAAGTAGTAAAGATGTGGAAAGTACTTTTCTGGAGGTTACATTCCTCTGAAATAGATATTAAAGCAATATTACAAATAAAATCAGCAATGTGATCTGCAATGGCATGTCCATTTTTCTATGAAAGCAAGAGGAGATTATATTAAAGGAAATATTTTAATCTACACAAAGCATTTTCACATATTCCTAATTACAAAACACACACCATAAAGTAATTGTATACTGAATACAGAAATCAATACATCTCTTGCTAAAAAGGAGAGGGGGGAAAAAATTAGCAGGGTAATGCAAGTGAACTCCCAGAAGCGTGTGCCTGGGGAGACTGCTACAAACTCAGACTCTGTTCACTAAAAAAAAACAAAATCCAAGATTTTCTGCACAGCTGTGGAAGGCAAGGCTACAAGCTAGTGTGGAAAAGCCTGAATCACTTGTCATTGCTGCCATGCAAAGACTTGAGGAAATCAATGTTAGTCTAAGAACTGAGAAGTCTGGATTTTTTTAACTGGATGAAAACAAGAGCATTTTTCCTGTTTTGCTCTTTTTTTTTTTTTTTTGCCAGGTGACACCTCTGGCCCCATTTATTCTGTTGCTTTTGGACTGTGTTCTGCCTCTGTTATCCAACTACTGCTCCACCTGGTTGTTCCCTGGCTGGATAATGCCCGCAATTCATCTAGAAAACTTGAGGCTTTATCTTGAGCAATTCTCATTGTCTCCTGATGCCTCTGGGTTGGGTTCTTAGCTTGTAATCATCTACAATGAGAACAAATTCAACTGGTAGATTTCTGTCTGTGCAACCTGCTGCAGACACATTCCCACATTGGAGGGAGATGTGGGAGATGTTTAAACTTTAACATTACAACAGTCTGAATAGTAATAATGAATTTATCCTACCTACCAACCAGCCCAGTTATCAGCTCCCCAGCACAAAGGTTGTACAGCCAGACACTTCAACCAAAGGCAAAACATCACTGGCCCAGTGGTTCTGCATTACACAAACCACAAGAGCTAGCACAGATGCTGATGGCTTGGTTGCATTTCTGCAGTTGGCTTTCACATAATGATCAGGATGTTCTGGCACAGGCTACAAAGTCAGGCACAATGTGGCCAAGTCAGGTAGAGGGGGAAGAGGGTGACTTTACATCACAGGCAGCAGTAATACCACTCAAGTACTCCTCAACATGGAAAGATCTTCACCTGTTGTAGCTAATTATGTAATTACAGTGGAAACCAGAATCTCATCTCCACCAGCTGACACAAAACCTGGAGAAATTCCAGTCAAGCTAATGGTATTTTTGTGGATTTCAAACAGTGAAGCAGAACAGTAATAAATCCCTAAAAAGCTAACTGGTGACCATGTCATTTTGATACAATTGTTCTCATCAGCACAGCAGTAAAAGTTATGCCTCTGAAAAGACAGGAGAACCTTTTTCTAACCCACAATAAAAAGAATTAAAACAGACATTATGGAAAATCTCCTCAGATTGTCTGCAATTTTAAGAGCAAGGGCATTCTGGTATGATCAAATGTTACTACACTCCTACTTTTACAAAGAAAGACAAGACTACAGAATATTAACAAACTTACTGTGAAGCTTATCTTAAATCAAAATTATCCTGAACTTCCAAATGAGGCAGCAATTCAGAAAAGCACTTTAGCACAAGCTTAATAACATACTCATGCTCAAATGTTTTGCAAGAACGTAATTGTCTGGATACTTGGTAATTTACAGTTTTGGCTTTTACAAATTGGTCTCCCAATTTGCCCCTGTGATTTAGCAACATTCTAGTACACGAGCCATTACCTTAATTTCTGCAAGGAAATATAGTAGTTCAGCAAATGCATGGTAATTTATGTCCAAACTCTATTGTAATGCCACATCACAACAGGTACCTGCATAACTGCACCTGGTAAATTAAAGTGATACCGATACATTCGATAAATAAAAAATAAATTACAGACTATGGGAAAAAATGTCACTGATCACACCAATGACCTAAACTTGTTTTCTAGTTACTGCCAAGGTCTGGAGTAATATTTAAATATAGTATTTCTGCAAGCATTCAGAGAATTACAAAATAAACTTCTAACAATCATTTGTAAACAAGTTTAAAATGCACAATTATATTTCAGTAGTTTATTTTGGAAAAAAAAAGCAGTGCAAAATAGGCCAACCAAAATTCAGAAGGCAGCCAGGAAAATAAAATTCTTATTTGATGTTCTAACTAGAAAACAGCATACAGACATTTCCATTGGATCCAACACTCAGATTCATGTAAACATACTTAGTTTGAAAGGTCTTGAGTTAGTAACCCAGTTCTAACATGATTGCTCCATCCCCACCACCCGATAAAGAAACAAAACCCAAAAAACCAAAAAAAGCCCAAGCCATTGTAATAAAGAGAGCAACAGGCAAATCTACAAACACTCCACCAGCTGGTTACAAGAAAGTACCATACAAAAATATGCACTGGCAAGTTCCTTCCTGAGGGCATCTTTTGTTACACATGTAACATAAAAACACTTTTTATTTTAAACAAACAAAAACAAACCCCAAACTGCAGATGTCAATTTCATTTTAGTCATGGCTTTACAAAAGGTTTGGTCTCTACCATGAATACTTTTATAAACCCTGTACATCTGACTCACTCACACCACAGCCATCCGAGACCTGCAAGCTGCACACAGCACGGGATCCAGCAGCCTCAAAGCACACAAGGGTTGTGAAGCGTGCCCAGCTCAGAACTGATCTGCCACACTTGAGGAAGTTGGCTGTGCTAATGAGCACCCTGGCATCTGACTGATACCACACCCATAAGGTTCTTCCAGTCCCTATAGAAATACTTTAAAGTTAGTAATCCCTCTAGAGGTGGAATCATCTTTTGTTGTATAAATCATCCTGAAAAATTCAATCCTGGCTACAGGAAATTCCCAAGAATGGCATTTTGGAAGAAGACCAATCTCTCCTATGGGAAAAGCTTTGTTTACATAAAAGAACTGCTACATAACACTCTTCAAAACTTTTTTCCCTCTAGGACTGGTACCATCAGACAGGGTGGTGACAACTTTTACACAGTTGATCCTCTGTCCATGATCCACCTGGGCTTTAAGTTCTAGACCCTTTCCTTCTGAGTAGCCATCTAACACATGATACTAACCAAACTGGCATTAAATGCTGCAGTGACAGATGCTTTATGAACACGTGCTATACAAAAGAGAGAAATCCTATATTTTCAAGCTAGGAGCTTAACTAAGGAAATTTTTTTAACACCACCCTTCTTAAATGTATTTTAGGGCTAATAAGGGGAAGAGAAGGCCACTTCTACCAAAATAGTGTTTCTGTTCTTAGCACTTGGATATTTCTAATATAGTGTTCAGAACTAGCAAAAGTTGCAAGAATTCTCAACAGCAGAAGATGCTGCCATACTAGAAGATATCTCAAGAGAAACAAATTGGCTGTGCTATAGTTTACAAATAGGATACAGCACTGTTGGAAACTACCATATGGCCTCGCCTGGCAGCTTGCTACAAAGTAATCGGGTCTCCAAGCTAGAGGGGTCCTGTATTTCTACCTTATATGAAGGTACACAATTTTGTTTATATTTTAGAAAAAAAATGTACAACAACATGGATCTGTGGAAGGCAGTGACTGTGTTACCTCTCAGGATACACAGCTCAGGTGTACTGCTCCAAGGAAAAAGCACAGCTCTGCCAGCCTTTTCCCAGAGCTGTCCCAGAGTCCTCACAAGTGCAATGGAAGGAGAATTAAACTCCCTGTGAAGAGATGAGCTGCTTCTTTAACTCTTCTAAGATTTCAGCACTAGCAGACAATTGAAAGCATGTTATTTAATCTACTAAATGACTCCACCTAAATAGTGGCACCCTCTCTGGGTAAAAGATGTTGCTGTTTGCAAGTGTGGTTGGAAGCTGATCTAAGTGAAGCACTGAGGCCTGGGGGGAGAACTGCAAAGCTGGGACAGGGGTGGTCACCTCGGCTCTGTGCCCTGAATACGCAGGCTGCTCTGTCCTACTCAAAGTGCAGTGGCTTCACAGCAAGCTACCTGCCAACATCATGACTGGTCAACATTTCAAGAGATTTGGTTTAGTGATACTGAAGTTGTTTTAGCTTCCTTATGCAATGGCGTACGTGGAAAAAAGAGGAACAGGAAGTTTTTTAGGCTAAAATCTCTAGCACTGTTACATTCAGACACTGCATTTCAATATTATTATCTTCTTGATAGCATGAGGTCCGATTTTAAAATGCTGGTCACCAGTGATTACAAAGAATAATAGAAATGAAAGAGCAACCCTCCCACAATGAAAGGACTAGTGTTAAAACACGTGTGTGTGTAAACTCACTACAGATTTGCAACTGGAATCTGACGAAATGGATTTGGATCACTTTCTCACTCTTCCCCTTTCAGTCCGTTTCATCAGCAAATTAGGTTAAATCAAATTGAAAGTTTTTTTATTTTGCTTTTTTGTATTGTGTTTTGAGTTTTCCCCCCTATTTTTTTGTCAATTGTATTGTTAAAGCCTGATCTGGTTCTGGGACCACAATCTGTATCCCTGGGGCTTTTTCTCAGTCCATGGCATTGGCAAGTTATTGAGAAGAAGCTTTTGTTGCCAACGTAGCGACGCAGTGCTGCTGGAAGCTGGGGGACACTGCTGAGTTGCAGCCTAGTCTCTGGTGTTGCAGTTTTACTGAGCTGTTGCTGTCGCTCTCCACAATCCAGGAGGAGTCTTTTCCCATGACGCTGAGACAGCCTGTGCTAGCACAGCATATCCGCTCGTCCATGATCCCACCGCTCTGCTCTGCCAGGAGCTTGCTGTGGTTTAGCTGGGTCACCTCAGGTACCTGACCCTGCAGGACAGCAGCTATGTGGTTCAGCAGATCTGTGAAAAATTCAGAAACACCCTCATAGCCTGAAAAGAGAAAAAATGAAGGAGAAAAAAAAAGGCAATTAAGTAATTTCCTTAGGTTCTTTGAAAGGCTTCTTTTAATAGTTTGTTTCTTGGAGTGTCCTTGCCCTCCATTGATCATAAAAAGGTTATAAAAAAAAGGTTTTCTTCATGACAACATTTTAAGTGACAGCAGCAGGAGATAAGCATAAAGAGAAACGAGAGTCTTGCAATAAAAGTACTTTTCCAATGAGAAAAACAATTGCCTTTCAGATTTGCTGCTTTTTCCTTCCAAGTGTATATATAATTTTAGGTTTGTTGCTGAGTCCAAGTTTTTCCCTAAGTTACAAACTCTCTGGCATAATGTTGATCTTTTCCATACCATTTCTAAGTTTACTCTGGCAAGTAGCTCTAGAGCAGAGCTTTGTTAAGGGTCTGGACCCTCTCCAGAATTTGCCCAGCAATACCCTCAGTTAGGGAAACCTCAGAGGAGAGCAGGGCTGGCTTTATACCCTACAGAAAAGGCAGCTTCTCACTGAGCAAGAAGCAATGCTTGTCTAACCTAACCAAACTTGACACATAAAACTATGTTTTTGCTGCTATGTCTGACAGAACACCTGAGGGACAGGAAATGTATCTCAATGATGCAGTATTTGATAGAAACATCAATCATTTGTTTCAGCACTGAAACCACCTTCGTACATGTTCTGTTAAGTGATTCCAGACAATTTACAATGCAGTTTAATAACAAGTTTCCTGGTTGAAACAGTTGCTCAAATACCAGTAGACATGACATTTTTGGTGACACAAATGGTGGCAGGTGTACAGATCTTCTGGGTCTATTCTAAACACTGTGCTACAGGCACAGTTTTATAATTGAATTTCATTTTAAAATTGAACCAGCACGCAACATATGAGTACAATGTCCTGAAATGGATCTTAACTGCTACTGCATTACCTAAAATTGTTGTCAGTTCAGTGTTGTTCAATGAGATAGGCTGGTTGTTTTAAAATGTCTATTAAAGTATTCTGGAAGTGACCTGCCAGTAATACAGGAGACTGAAGCAGTAAGTTTAAAAGGACCTGTGTGAATAGCACACATTCACACAGCAGCACATGAGCAGAAGCAGAGACCACAAAGTAAATGCATACTTTAAAACACTTTTAGTGATGTTATAACTGGGCAGAAGAGTTCCTCAGATCCATAATTAATTCAATTTTAATTTCCATTGTCCTGTCAAGACCAACTTCCTTAAGCAATAAAAAACCCAACTTCTTGGAAAACATGAAGGAAGACTATAATTTCACCGATAATAAATGTGGGGATTTTATGGTGTATTTATAAGCCATAGGTCAACCAATTAACTCTTATTTAGGCTGCTACATTCCTTTGGATTTTATTGCACTTGGTCCCAATTCTCCTAGATACTTAACAGGTCACACAAAACATCAGCAATGTGAGGCACAGCTCACAGTTCTTCTTTCTCAGAGGCCCTTGAAGGGATTCACCAAACAAATCTCTCATTTCAAAACACCAAGTTTCCCAGTGCCCCACAAGATAATCACTGGTTGGCAGGGGTCAACTAGGACTCCTGGGGCTGGCCATGGGAGTCAGAACAGGATCTCCACCCCTTGGACAGAAGTGCTTGTTACGCTTTCTTGCTTATGTAAAAGCCATGGGATTAGCCTTCAAATCTACTCAGAGTGCTTCAAACACCCCAGGAATAAGCCATCTCCATAGTAACAGCTTTAATATTCAGCAAGGAGATCCATAGTACCCCAGAGTGTTCTGTGTCTGCTCATAGAAAACAAACTAGCCTTGTAGGAGGGCACCTGGGAAACTCACAAAGAAGTTGCTTTAAATATTTAATAGGAATAAGATGGCCAGTTATTCTGTCCTGAAATCAGAACTAACAGTTATTCTGCCCTGAAATCAAGACTAACATTAGCAGATGTTAGTGACAGGAAGCTGTATGTAACAGGCAGGCTCTCTCTGTGCCAGCCCTCTGCACACTGGGTGGAAATGCCCAAGTAATTCTGCCCAGTCACTCAGAAGAAACTTCACAAACTTGTGAAAAGGAAATAGAAGGAAGGGAGGAAGAGAATTAGCTGAGAAGATAATTAGCTGTCTCAACTTGTGGTTCACAGGACACATGGGAAGGCTACAAACTGTGGGTATTGCCTCACTTGGTTCACCTAGGGCTCCTGTAGGCTTCTCACACTAGTCAGTTGTGGGACACCACTGTGCTGCAATGATAACAAAATCAAGAAGTGCAGATTGAATTACACCTTCAGAAACTACTGGCAGTGAATTTGGGATTCGTGTTACACAGGGAATCAGTGGGAGGATATAATTTTTGCATGCCTAAAACAACTTGCATGAATCGTGCTCCAGCAGGTGCTATCCTAGCACTGCCCACTTGAAACAATTTTGGAAATGCCTGTCTGCAAGATGTCTGAAATTTGCTATACTGAGAACAGTCTCCAGAGTCCTCTGGCTGAGCGCAGATAGGAAAGATGTCCACCCAGCAATGCATCTAAAAACAAGTGCCCACCTCTGCAAGCTTGGGTGGAGGCAAGTGTCTATGAGCATTTTTAAGCCAGCATATCAGATGCTACCTGCCTGATTTTTCAGACTCTCCCTGATCTGGGACACTTGGCTTTTCTGCATGTTCCCTTGGTCAGAGAGAAATGGACAGCCCATATCCTGCATTTGCAGCAATGTTTTTACACACACAAAATGTACGTTCAGATTTGATGCTCCCAGCTACCATGCAGATTCACCAGAGCCAGCAGTTCACCTGCATGGTGCTAGGCTGCAGCTGCTGGGGCTGGGTGAGCTCAGCCACAACCACAGGACAGCAGGCTATGTGAAACTTTTCTCTCACTTATCTGAGGTCAGACAAACATAACTCCCACAGGCTACGTGACTGTGCCTACAGCTCAATATCTCAGCTGGTAACCACTGCTAAATATAGTACCAGTAGTTTCCCACATAACAAAACACACAATAGGCCTTCCAGACATTTATCTTTAAAATCTTTTTAGAGAGTTGCTGGTGATAATGGAGCAGATAACAGAAAACATCCTCCTACAGATACACCTGCTCTCAATTCTCTCATTAAACTCATCTCAGATGACATCCATGGAGTGGCAGGTTCAAACAAGCTTCAAGCCCAGTAAACACTGAAGACAGCACCCAAGAAAGGCAGCAAACCTCTGGGCAGCTGGATAAGGCTTTGGCCCCAAGCCATGGCTCGAGTTCCATGAAAGAGGCTGTGAATACTCTTTAAAGGGCATCTCTCCCCCTTCCCTTTTCAGAGTAGTGCTGCAGAGACAATGCCCAGGAGGGTTGGCTCCAGTTTGGCTCTACTGCAACTCTTGAAGGCCATGATTTGAGGAAGAAGAGCAAGGGAGGGCACTTCCTGGGACTGCACTGAGCCAGGAACAGGCAGATCCCACTGCTGATGCAGCCCACTGGTGACTCTTGAGATGGGCTAAGTTTGAACTTCTCACTAGCAAAATGCTGGCTCAATGAAGTCAGTCATTGTAACTCTTCAGTCCTGAATCACACAGGCCCTTGGAGGGAAATGCAGCTACCTCTGCTGAACATGCTTTTGAGCAACAGAGAGTTACCTGTGCTGAGATGTAACTTTGCTTCTGTTGCATTTTACTCCATTGTTTCTTCTCTGACCTCAGCAGACCTTGAGAACAGGGCTCATTTCTGTTCTGCTACCTTTTACGAATTTGAAGCCAGTTTTTCTCTCCCCTGCCCTCTCTTCTATATGTTTGGGCCCTACTGCTATCCTCTAGTTTTTCTCCAACTGGTCTTCAGTCTATCCCACAGTGATAAAGTCAGTAGTTACCATCAAAAAATCTGCTGTGTGAGACATGATGTAGATCAGTGCATAAGAAACTTCCCTGTGCTCCCAAGTCTCCTGCAAGGACTAAAACACAATTAATTCAAAGACCAATTACTGTGCAGGCTGACATGCAGGACTTGGGCTGAATTTTGAAAACTACTGCCTTAGGGTAGAAGTAGAGCAGAGCAGTTCTGCAAACTTAAGAGACAACAAGAAGTCATTGGTCCTGTCTGAATAAATGCTTGCCACATTGCTGTTCCCCAATGTGGAGTTTTCAACATTTCAAGAAGGAGAATTTCAGTCTGTGCAAAGTACTAAATCCAAAATAATACTTGAAGAAAACCACCCAAACCCCAAAACATGAAGCACCAAACCAAAATGCAGGATACAGGATTGCAAAAGAATGTCCTCTATCACTGACTTCAAGACCCAATGTCTGAAATATAATCCTATTATTAAAACTGATATGGTTCCATCTAACACCCAGTTTAGGTTCTTTCACTGCCCTGGGCAGAAGAGTGTTTTCATAGGTCTGCAAATTGCATAACACCATGTGGTAGAACCATGCTGGGAAGTGACCTGAGAATAGCAGAGCTGAGTTTTAGGAGGAAGCCAGTCACTGTGGAGAGAGACAGATGAGACACTAAAGGGCAGCAGGAATGAGGACCTGATCCGAAAAACTGAAGAGATTGGGAGCTCAGGACAAGACCTGTAGATGTAAAGACACCACAGCCATATTGAAAACTTAAAAGTCTTCAATGATGGGTTAAAGAAACTACACAACAGCCTGTGTAAGTCTCATGAAACAAACACCCCCATTCAGGTAATGAGAGGAGATTCTCAGAGAGAATCATAACCTGCAAAACAGCAGGGTTATTTTCCTGGCTTAGACTACTGAATTTAGCATGAGTCACAGACCATTACTGCCTCACTCTTATTCACACTTACAGCTCCTTTTAACAATTCTGGTGATCAAGGAGCTTGTTTAGTTGTTTCCAAGACATATGTTGCACTAAAAGAGTGGAGGACAAATTCACCCATTTCTACATGCCCTAGTCCATCCACAAACTCCAGAACACACTTATGAGAACCTGCAAGGACACGAACTCTCTACAGCAACTTCTGTGCACCCACAATTTTATCATTGTCAGATTCCTGGTATTGCTTTTGTGCACAAATGTCTTTTTGTGGGGAATCAATTTGCACAGGAAGAAATTTTCAAGGGAACAGTTTGTTTCTTCCACCCCCTCATTTTTTTAATGGCCCAGAGTCTCAAAAAAGAAAAAGTAATCTTTAAAGGCTCTACCAAAATAGAATTTAGTATTCTTTTCATTTCAGAATGAGGGCTAGGCCAAGAAAGGGTAGGTCCCAGCACACAGTCCCACACTGTAGTTCTTGAGTTTCCCTTTGCACAGAAGGGCACAACAGCTACAACTGGCCACTAAAATTTGGCCATATCTCCTAAGACCTGATACTTCAGACAGAAATTCCATATCTAAATAAGGGTTCCTCCCTTCCCAGACTGACCTGTATTTGATCTCAGAACCATCTGGTGGATGCTGTCCCACCTCCAGCCTGGGAAGCAATGATACGAGACAACAGCAGTAAAAATTGCTCCACGAAGCAGGAGTGGAAAGGCCTTTCTTACCTGGGAATGCATTTATATCAATGACTGCATGCTGCCCAGTCTGGTTGTTAATGATGATATCAATTCCAAAGAGGGAAACTCCCAGAGCTTGCCGCAGCGCTTTGGAGATTTCCCGGATGACGTCGTCATTTGGCCGCTCAAATACTCCTTCGATTTTATCCAGCTGTAATGGAAAGAGACACATTACTAAGGGACTCAAACAGCCCTTTTAGTGGAAAGATTGATTTTCAGAAGTTTCCAGGTGCATATCCACCAAATCTAATTGCAGAGAACCAGTGGCATGAAACAAAGAAAGATACAAAAGAGAAACTACTTTCATAATTCAAAATCCTTCCTAAATTGGAAATTCGTCTGCTCTAAAGCATCTAGTTCTTCCTCTTCATACTAGTGCAACTATAGAAGCAAAGCAGTGTAGGGATGAATGGAGAATCAGACTCATTATTTTAAGTACTAGATCTATACCTTAAAAAACATATACAGGTGGCATATTTAACCCTGTGCTGTAAAAGTCTTGGCTATCATTATTATTTCAGTGTAGATCAAAGTCTGTGTTAAAGGGCTGACAGGACAGACTCCTGCTGTTAGTTCAATCTGAATCATACAATAATCTCTCATACAATACAACTCAGCTGATATCTTAAGGACAGAGCATACCCTTTATGTGGGTTTTCAAGTACAAATTATTTTGTAAGTATTTATTAAAATGAGTGACTTAGGTTACTTATGACTGGAGGATGCACTATTCTTTGCTTTTTAAACAACATGTTACACAGCAGAAGTATGCTGTTATGCCTACAGAAGCATGACTGGGATACATATTTGTATGAGTGAGATGGCAAGTAAACCACAGGAGCACACTCTCTAAGTCTGAAAGCAAATTTTTAGTAATGGCTTCTCCCTCAGCATAACCACAACAGGACTTATGATTAGCACAACTACAGTTTTAATATTTAGCATGCCTACCAGTGTTGCACACAAAATTCAAAATCAAATACAAAACTAGTCCCCAGCAGAACTTGTGAAACAGAAAAGAATCCCAAGACTCAAGAGATTGAAAGGACCCAGTGCTGTAAAGTGACTTTTTCAGTAGCTGAGTGCCCAAGAACTTGTGAAGATTCATATGTCCAAATCTTATTAAAAGGACTGATAACAGTAGCATGAAACTGTGCAGTGTGCTGGCACTGCTGGTCTCGAAGGACATCCAGAAATGGTCCCATGGTCACAGCTCAGGCATGCTCACATGGCAGACAAGTACTGGCCCTCTGTGGCCTTGTGCCAACACAGTTTCTAAGCTTTAATTTTCACTGTTTGTCTTTCCTCACAGAACTGAGTCCTAAAAGAACGATTTATGCTTATTAATCTCTCTGGACAGTAAAAAGGCAGGTGTTTGCATTCAGAATCTCCTTCTTCCCTTTGCCTAGATTAGCCCTGGGTAGTTTGGGAAGCAGAACATCCCTGCTACAAGCTCTTCCTCACCGGAGCTCGGTAAGGAAAACCAGAGGGGCACCCAGTCATGCTGGTTCGTGGTACCAAACAGACCTCAGCCTGCAACACAGAAGCAGACAGCTTGTGAAAGAGAGTCACTAGCTACTAACACTTCCATAAGAAAGGATTAGATAGGTTTGCAGCTGCACTAGAGGGAAAAACACCAAGTGTACTTACCGCTGTTAAGACAGATGAGGACTCTGGTTTGGAAACATTGTGGCTGTTGAAAAATATTGATTCTCTGTCTGCAATTAAAAACAGATTGTAAGTAACTTTATACCAGACTTTAATTTCCAAAGGAATAGTGCAAAGAACAGTAGGTGGCAGTGCAGCCCCATGAATCTCGTCCTGGTCTCAACCATCCACGCCTCCCACAGGGCTCTCCTGCCTGCTGGCATGTGGCTGCCTGCACAGGCAGGGACCCATGGACAGATAATCCACTGTTCTTGGACCACTGATAAACAGAACCATGCACTGGGTAAACAGAAATCAGTTCTCCTTCCTTCACCACAGCAAATTAACTAAATTCAGTCAGATAATGAAGTTAATTTTTACTAATGTGCTATACTCAAATTGACAGTTCTAAGGGGAAGGTGTATGACAGAAGTTGCAATCACTGCAGGTGACAGGCCTGTAGCACCCCGGCTACACTGAGAGCCCTGGGAACTGGGCAGGGCACTGTGACCATGGCAGAAAGCAATACATTTTGTGGCCAGGACCTGTCCTTCTTTTGGAGGTACCACTGGAATGCAGAAGACACTCTGAGGTGACAGAAGCCACTGTCCTAACACATATGAACACAGATTCTGGCCGTATTAATTTGATCAGGACATAGACCAGACCTAAATGTAAATACAGGCACACACAGCTACAGACAAGAACTTCCACCAGCATCCTACTACACCTATACTAACAAAATAAATCTTTGTGTGTGAAATGCAGTGGTGAGCATACATGGACTTACTAGGATTAGCCAAAAACACTAAGAAAAGTGACAAAAAACTAGCATTTGTTCATTCATCTCCTTTAGTTTGATCCCATCCTCACCTCCTGGATTTATCCAATTGCTATCAGATCATGCTTGCTCCCAAAAGCATATAAAAATGTGCTATGTGCTGCTAATTTTTTTATGCTTTTGGTGGCCACAGAACGCAGTCCTCTGGAAAGGAGCTTTTTTCCATAGAGGAAATCTAAGTAATCTTTAACAAAAACCCTTCAAGTGTGGCTGTCTAATGACATACAGAAGAATCACTCTCCTCACTGACAAGTCCATTCCTCCTTCTCCCCAACGCACGTGATATCTACAAACCAAAAGGACACAGCCCACCAAGATTTTCAACACTGGGCCTCACATGAAGAGGGAGGTTCATTTAGGGGAGAGCACAAGTGATCTTTAATTTAAAACACACACATATTCTAGGTAAAAATAGGGAGAGGAAGTGCTGAAATGATGGAATCCAGGAAATTCTCTCCAAAGCACATTTATAAACAAGTTCCGGAACAAATGACACATGAACTTAGTGGGAAAGGAGAGAACTTCTCTCCCTCTCCCCCTTTCCACATGACATAAAACAGAGTCTAACAGGTAAGACTCAGGTTACCATTGCATAAATATTTACTATATGACTGCCACTCGTACGTATTCCAGAGCAGGTGAGATATCTCCCTTTCTCTTGAAATAATACAGAAGAGGAAACATGGCATGTCCAAACCAGCTGCCTTCACTGCAGCAGTTTTTTCACAGATATTTTCTTCAGAGATGTTTCCTGCTGAGGCTGCAAGAAGAGACATTTTCTTTTCAATCAGTACAACGTACCTGAGATGCCTGCAGAGAAGTTCTTTAAAGATGGTCTTTTCACCACGGTGTAAGATTCCCCGACCACAAACACTTTATAGAGCACAGCATTGTGGTTGATGAAGCTCTGAATGACACAGGGGGGGCGAACGGCTTTGAGGCCCTCCTGGTTGAAGATGATCGCCATCTGCAAACACACACACGTGGTTGTGCAAAAGGCTGCCAATATTTCATGCTTACCACACCTGACAAGCAACAAGGGGAACAACTCCTTTTCTGCATCTTGTTCTATTTCATTGTGTTTCATTTAACTGACACAAGGCTCTGCAAACACTACTGGCAGTGAAGCTTTCATTTTCTATCAACATTTTCACAGCACTTTGCAATTTCATTTGCTGCCTTTAGTTGGGAAGCTACTGCAACTGCAGGTACAACAAAGAGATAAAACATCTGACCAACACAGACAACAAAGTTTGTATTGAATACAAGCCTGTATCATGAGAACAACAGAAGGAACAGTTCTGTGCACTAACTACAAGAATTCTTCCCCAAGATCTATTTCCCCGTTTTGGTTCAGCCCAGTTGCAATAGACTAAGCACCAGGGCTTCACCCACACCATCAGAGAACATTTCTCAGACTCCAGTAGTTCTCACTGCTGACAAATGCTGGCTATCAATTTTCCTGCTTGGTTTCACCCTATTACTCTAAACAGACAGTCCTCTTGAGAGCATTGGAATAAATATGCCAAAAAGGAAGGCATTTATTGGGTCTTATGAATGATCAAATATCTGCACACATGCACAATAACTCAGTAGATTAACATTTTCTATGTTCATGTCAATGTGTGCATTCAGTACCTACTTACAGCTGATACTGTTGCTGTCGCTATTACACAGCACAGAGTGAATTTGTGAGTGGTAACAACCTGTGCAAGAAATTTCTCTAACAGACAGAATCATCCATCAAAATGATTCACAGCAACAACATCACACCTCATTTGTGTCTTACTGGTGGCAAAAAACATTGCTCTCTTCCTACTCTTGTGTGGACTGTTTGCATTATAGTGTCTACAACATCACACTGGCAAGAACTGTGCTGTTCTGTAGTGTTCTATTCCACTATTAGTTAATTCATTCCCACAAATAAACATAAGATGAACAGGTTCAGCCTATTTTAGGAGTTTATCTTCTCAGCACAGCACTGACCATGACTATTGGAAGCTGTGTGGGGCCTCTGTTCTGCACAGCACAGCGCTGGCAGCCCCGTGGACTAGCACAAGCCCAGATAAACCCCATGGGGTGCCTTATGCCGGTTCACTGCCATGTCTCATGGCTTTTAACATGCATGAATAGAGCTCCAAGAATTTGCTTGCAGGGTGCACTTGCTCTTTGTCATCTAGCACAGACCTGCTGTGTCTGGCAGTAATGTGGGTACAATACTTGATATCATAATTTTCAAACAGCATTTCTCATTATAAATGCAGAGCACTTTTGAAGGCCAAGCAAAACATTTGCGCCAAGAATTTTTACTGACAATGTCCGTAAGGAAGTCAGTCTCACAAAACATAGTGATTCTCTGCCTTTTCTTTCTTGTCTGTTCAAATGCTCAGAAGAAATTCTGGATACATTTCTTCAGGTTATGGGTCTCTCATGGCAGCTTTACCAAAGGTTAGTTATGTTCTGACTCACTGGCAGCCAGGAAGCACAACTTCCAGCCAACATCTCTGTTCCAGTTTAACAAATGGTGCTGAGCTGCTGAGGCCACTGCTAGTGCAGAGGCCATGTGGAACTAGGGACACCACAGAAAGGGTGACACCACCCCAGCTTAACAACAGCATGTACTCACATGAGAAAAATGGAGTCTGCCAGCCTCACCTGGTGAACTCACACACCAAACCCCCTAACTCATGCACCAAACTTAAACTCAAGCCTGATCCTTCAGCTGTCCCTGTGAGCTAGTACTTGGACTTTCTTAACAGCCATCTTATGAAGAAAGGCAGGTTTCTGGTCAGTGCTCTAATTTTAGTGTCAGCTCTGCATTGGAAATATATCCACAAAAAAATGAAGTGATTTACCAAAAGCCAGACAAGGAGTCATTAACAAAACAGACAACAATTTCTTGCTTCTAGACCTATGCTCCATCCTTTAGACAGATTGTGCTGTAAGCAGGTATTTATCCTATGCTTCCTTTGTAATTATTGACCATAAACAATTCCAAAACAGTCCCACTCTGATCATAGATATAGTTTTGGATCACTCCTGGGAACTCAGCAACTCCAAAAGTGACTACTGCTACTACTATGTAAAGCAATATGCAAGATTTCAGGCTTTTTTCCAGGGGTCGTCCTAATCTCTTGTCATAAGTTCCTGTGATAAAGTGCAGACCATGGGTGTATTTTAGTCTAATTTTTGCTCTGGCAGGAGGCTTAGATGTGTCTGCACTGTATGAAAGATCAAAGAAAGATTCACCAAGGAAATGAAGTCCAAGCCTAACTGGACAAGTACTGAGAAGTTCATGTGTTTCAGTTTGCAGTTGCAGATGAACTCTTGACAGAAAAATCAGCAGGAAAATTGAAGTCTTAAATTCATTAAAAATCCAGTACCCAAGTGTTCTTAGGAATGACAGCAAAAATTTATAGCAGCTGCTCCAGCAAACTAACAGGACTGTCTGTTGGCTTGTGAAATAAGCCAAGGTAAAGCCTGCCTGCAAAATCTCACTGCATCTTTAAAAGAAGTGCTGGTCAGTCAAGATTTCAGCCACAGCCATTCTACTCACCTAGATTTACAGTTTACTTGAGAGTTTTCAGCTCTCAGAGACATTGCAGCAATGTCTCGTAGTGCACGTTTCAAGAGCAGCTGGGAAGCCTGGACTGATGGCCACGTTGTTAACAAAGAAAGCCAGGAGTTAGGAGAGCCAGCAGCAAGGGCTGGATTCTCAAAACTAATCTGAAGTAAGCAGGAAGGCAGGAAGCACAAATGGAAAAGAATTAAAACAGTACTCCACCCACTTAAATTTAGAGGAAGCTAATCTCATAGGTAATACACTCTTTCCAGGAATATACAACCATTTTAGCTGCAACTGCCTTACAGGAAGGCAGATAAGTTCTACCAGTCCTGTTCTCCCCACAGATCCCACTGTGTTATTACAACTGAACATTGCCTGGAAACCATCTCTATTTGTTACTCCCTTCTCCTCAGGGAAAGGAGCCAGCTGCTCCATCTGAAGCACAAACCCACTTCTCATCTGTACCACATACATATTGGAAAAGTAACTTTCTGGGACAGAAACTTTATTTAGTGACCTCCTGCCGAAGGAGTGACTGAAAGAGATTTCTTGGACAAAGCTGACTGAAGACTACAAACTGCTAGAAGCAACAATATGATAGAAGGTAGAAACTGCTAAAAATAGCTTGCATGACAGGAGGTTCAAGTCACATTTATCTTAATTTCAGATTTAAAAAAAACTAATGCCGCAATTAAACATGAGGGAGAGGCGGGGAAGAAAAGTTGTTTTGGTGCAGCCCTCTTCCTACCCACTACAGGATTGGAAATCACCAGCCAAGCCACCACAGGGGGAGGGGGGGACAGGACACGACTGGAAGCAGGTGAATAATACTGCAAAAATTTTCAACTCACCTCATGAGAGTTGGTTCCGTGGGCCACTCTGGTTTTACAAACTAGGTAAATAATAAAGAAAAGACAATTCACCACTGAAAGAGAACACATAAACCCTTTATAATCCTGTTTCCACCCACACATGCAAACACTGGAGTCCACCAGACCAAGGCATTGACTGTAACACCAGTGACAGTCTCTGCTTGAACAGTGCTCTTAATCACTGCAAAGCCTGGCTTGCTCCAAGCTCTGCTCTCTCAATTCCTCCCTCTAACTAAGGTGCAAGCACAGATCTTTATTAGGACTGGACAGAGCTGCAAAGCATCAGCTGAGAAGTTAGTACTAGTATTAGGATTGCCATCCTGTCTACTCAGAGAGCATTTTTACAACTATGTAATTTTTCGTCTGAGGCTAGAGCTACTTTACCACAAAACACCGCTAGGTACCACAAAACAGCACTTTCCTTAAAACAAAGGAACTGGGACACAGTCAAAAGCAACTTATTTTCTTACCTCACTGTTTTCAGGGAAGAGCAGGAAATGTAACAGGCTGAACCAAACTTAAGATATAACTTATTTTTCACAGGCAACCATAGAGGAGGACAGAAAAAGGCAGAAAGCCAGGCAGTTTTTCTTTCTCTTTCACATTTATCTGCTCTGTATATCCTGATTCTCACCTCCATCTTGATTAAGAGGAGGAGTAAAACTCATTAGAGGAAAGAAACAAAAAGCTGCTTCTACTATGAGGCCAGAGAGGAGCTGAAGACCCCTAGGGCTCACAGTGTGACTAGGGCTGATGTTACTTATGTGTTAAGGAGAGGAGATGAAATCTTGCAAGTAGTGAGAGGGTGGATAGGACAAGACATTTTTTCAGGTTGTTGGAAGAATCAAATTGCCAGGCAAGAGGACAGGGAGCTATGAAAGAGAGATAACCTGCACTAGAGTCCAAAATAACTTGGTAACTTGAAATTTTACAAAATGGTTTATGATGTCTCAGAGAACATGTGCTCTGGAGAGCTGGACCTTTTTTAAGAAAAACTAGAGACAGAAAAATGAAAAAAACACTCCCAGAATATCAAGGTATATTAATTTTCAGTGCTATTTTGTAATTTCATCATTATTTAGAGGGTTTGATTCAGACCTCCTGAATATATGACGCTGACTACTGAGGACTAGGCAGTCTGTATGGAGAGCAGAATGTGAAGAGGAGGGCAAAGCCATTCATGAGATTTCAAGTACTGCTTCACAACCTATCTTCAGGAGACCTGCCTCATTTGGGAGAGCGATGGCAGGGAGGGCAAAACATGCTTTTTCCACACAACTTTACCTCTGAACCTTACAAATGAGGCAAGCAGCAAGGGAACAAACACCGACTAACGATCCTGCTCACTTTATACTGCAAGGAATCAAATAAAGGAACTAATTAAAGCACAAGCCCTGCGATGAAACTTGCTTCAAAGCACAAACAGTTCATAGCAGCTGTTTGAGCTGTGGGCCCTTGGAGTCTGTTATCTGTGTTAACCCTCTTTCTTTTACCCGTTAAGATTATACTTGTACCCTGGACCAGGGAAAGGGAGAGGTAGGTGGAAAAAGAGGATAATCAGCAAGGCAGTGATTTTCTGAAGAAAAGTAATGAGTGCAGCTGGCAGGAGAAACATCTTGCACAAGTTCAGGGCAAGAGGCTAACTTTGTTAGAACTATTAGCATTTCCCAGGAATGCATGTTTACTGTAGCGAGGTGCTGAAAGTAAGGAACATCAACAAAAAGCAAAGTAAAAGCTGACAGGGAGAGAGTTTGTTCCACATTCCAAGCAGACTGCCTCAGAGCATTTGTTTCAGGAAAGTTTTAATATCCTTGACACTTCTGGCAGTGAAATCCACACTCCTACAATGTTGGCTATGTTTTGGGGGGTGCATGTGCAGTATTTAGAACCTACTAGAAGCACCAAAGAAAAGCTCATGTACATACTGAATGGGAATGCCAGTCCATTCTTCTCTATAAGCTTCAAGGTATCTTCTCCACAGGCACTTGTCAGCTCCATAAACGGTGGTGAACAGATCCTCTCATCTGCAAGAAAATAAAAAGACTCAAATGAAGATGAGGGGTTTAGCTCCTCAGCTGCATCATTACCAGCTCTCTCCTTCCTAACTGCCTCTTAATAGTCAGCTTATATTAAAGCACCCAAAAGGACTGTAAGCCAGGCCTGAATTTGGGTTTCTGGAAACATTTCAGAAGATGAAAGGCTCAATTTTCATGCAGTCTAAATGACAATATAAAGCCAGTATTTTCACAGGCAGCAAAAATGATCATCTGCTTAGGAGCACACTGCACATGAATTAGCCAGTGAGGTGAAAAGCAACTGTGATCTTTTTATGCCTTCAAGCATAATTTTCTAAAGCATTTTACAAGAAACAGAATGGTCTGCAAATGTGACTAGAAAAGGCAGTCTCACAAAGACATATGTCCTGTAGGGCTCCTCAGGTGGCAGATTCCAGTGTGTATTTACTTCAGGCAAGGTGCCAGAACATTCTGCTGTTCTCTGGGGTGGCTCTGCCAGGAAAGCAGTGTTCATTTGGTCTGGCAAAGCCAACCAGAGCACTGCTGAGACACTGCCATGTTAAAACTGCTCAGCAAGTTCTGGGTAAAGAGAAGAATCATGGGAACCATGGTAAAATTTAATGAAACAGGTCTGCTCCAGACTGTTTCTGCCAATGTTGTGCTTGTTCACATGGGGTTGTGGGAGGCTGGAGCAAAAACCAGCCCTCTTAGTGACTTGGTAAGTTGACTTGCTCTAGGATGCCCTTCCGGTTCACTGCAGGAGAACTGAGATTTTCCTGGGAATGCAGCAGGAAAGGCAGAAACCACTGTAGGACTCAGAGAACTTGCACATAAATGGCTTCAGAGGGCTGGGTTGCAATCTGAAGTGTACAGAGAACCTTGGCTTCAGCCATGGCTTTGAGACAGGTCAGCAGGGCCCAGGTTTTCAGACAAGCTGTGTGCACATTGACAACATTGACTAGGTCAAATCAAGGACATCACACAAGTATGAATGACGATTTAAATTACCTCCTTAGTTAGCACAGCCTTAAAAAAGTACTATTTTAATGGAGTTTGAGCTGTGGCCAGGTTAACTTCAGAGCCACAAATGAGTTATAGCTTGAGTTAGCTGCACAGCACTGAACACAATTCAGAACGGGTCTGCCAAGACTTCTTCACTTTGCAGACTTATTTCAAGAGGATGACACCTTCCTCCAAAAAGGAACTGGAGACAAACACAAATGGTGGGAGCAACTGCATCTGGCAAACTCAAGTCACAGATTTATATAAACCAGCAACTTATCTTGAAAATAAGCAAAGCATGGCTGAATTGAAACAAGTGGAGGCCATGGTGTGCAGATGGTGAAGAAACTGAAAAGTACATGTGAACTAAAACCCCAGCAAAGCTAAACATAACTCTGAGACAGACAGGCATTCAGAAATCACTTTATAGACATTGTTTAGATTAATACTTTTCACTTAAGTATATATATGTAAAGAAAACTGAATCACTGAAAGTAACAGAGATGCAGAACTCTCTATATTTTGGTACACATATCTCAATATATCCCCAAACTTTTGGAATATCTGAGAACTCTGTTCATTAGCAGTGTTGTCACTACAATAAGTTTTCTGAGAAAAGGCTATTTTCATAGATTCTAAAAGGAGAAGAAAGATTGATGCTTTGAGGTCAGCTTCTACAAAAGTAAACGAAACATCCCAGATTTCAAAGCTTTCAATTTGCTGCTATGAAAACAGAAAGCAGCATCCAAAAGTGACAGGTACTGTAATATTTACAAGCCTTTGCCAGAGTAAAAGTTCCTTAGTTGGATGAATTTAGGGAATAAGATTTAGTTTACAGATACTTGGGAACAACTTTGGCTTGGCAGCTCTCCCACCCACATGCTTAAGGCTCACAAATAACTTTGTCTTCAGAGTGCAGATGCAGAGGAACGTATGGTTCCATCTCGCTTCCCTCTGTTTCCCTCTCATGCAAACAGGAAAGGGAGACAGGGAGATTCAGTGCTCCTGCTGACTACATGACACTTGCATGGGGAGATGAAGGAAGGGACAAACAGGAATTTCTTTGACTTGCACTTAGAAAGGACCACCTGGATCAACAAAAAGTAGCAAAGAAGACTCTTAGCATCTCAAAGTGCTCCTGCTGAGTTTGCATAGCACTGGTATTTTCTCTATCAAGAAGGCAATTCTAGCCCACTGAAACCTCTAAAACAGACCATTAATTCACAGCCAGACCTGAGGACAAATAATGCCTCACTCAACACAAGATTTCAGTAGAGCCTACAGCTAGAAAACTGCTGCTCTGAGTTTAACTGCACACATTGAAATTCTAAAGGTAGTGGCAGGTTAAAATAAAAAGTCCTCCAGCAATCATCCTCTCCTCCTTCCCAGGGTGGCAAACACATGCTAAAACTTTCTCTTATCACCCAGCTCCTGCTATCAGAGTGACAGCAGTCTCTGCACACCTTCTCTGCACTGAGGTCCAGGACAGACCTCACTCAAAGCCTGAGAGTCAATTCAATACTGATTTACATCAACTTGGAACTACACCATGGACCCACCTAGTGCAAATGACCCCCGTGAACCTTCCCTCCCCTCCTGCTGAGTAAGCTGCTTTAGTGTGAGCTTACTGAGCTGTGGTCAGTGCTGGACTCTTGGCACTGTCACCGCTTCTTTGCAAACCAGCAGTGACAGGACACCATGGGAAACCATTGCCAAAAAGAACAACAGTAAATACACACAAACAAGTAAACATAACAGTCGAGAGATGAGAAGGGCATCATGATTCTGGCTCCATGGCTGTTCCTTTGTATTGATGCTCCAGCCTAACCCTGCAGTCTAAACCAATCACTATTCTCATTTGCATCTGACAGTCCTAGAACAAAGCACTTTAATAAAAGCAGTCTGAGAACTACTACAGGTTAGGCCACAGCCATGTCAGCCCTCCTGTGCAGCTGCACTGGCCATGCACCCCTAGCAGAAGTGACTCTGTCAGGACACAGACCTGATGCAACCCAGAACCTGTGCACACAGCTGATGCTGTTGCTTTTCTACCATCAGTACTCAGCTCTGTGCTGTGCTGCTGAGTGGAAGAGTCTTCTTCTAAAACATCAAGTTTGGAAAAAATTTCATCTCATCTTCCACCCTTGGCTATGCACAAGTGACCTTAAATCCCAAGAGATTACTATGTCTGCAGTTTCTGATCTTTTCACTTAGGATCTGAAACTAAAAATCAGGCACTTCCTCCCTCCCTTTGGGTGCATACACTGCATCACACAATAAGCAGATGACCACAATTATTAACCCTATCTTCCTTCATGCAACACATGCTGGACCAAAGATATCAACAGGAAATGTCTGTCTGTAAGACTACAGACTGCTATGATTTAAGATTCTGTACATTGGTATAGCGCACATTTAGAGAATGGTATTTCTTTATTTTCTAAGCACCTGGTTGTCTCTGAGAGTTCTGCCTTTGAAATATGGCCACCCCTGCAGGTGAACCTTGTCAGGTCCAGAAGTGCTAGTGTAACAGCAACAAGGAAAGAGTCTTCAGATCAGAATGTTTAGCTTTCACTTAAGACAAGTACCAAAAGCATCTGCAGCACTTTTGTTGTTAAAAACAACATATTATAATTAAATTTAAAAGTCAAAATCCTGTCACTCTGTTCCTCCCCCGTCTTTGTCCTCATTTTTATTGCATGCCTTAGCACAAACTTTGTGGTATCTGTTTTCCATATTTGCCTTTAAATATTCTCCCTTTTCTTCAAAATTATTCGATCTCAGATGGGAGTTCTCTCTCTCTCTCTCTCCCCCCCTCTCTCTCCTCTTTCTTACTTTCTGTATTGTTTCTCATTCCCATCCCCATCTCTCACCTAGGCTGTTCATTTTCCAACCATTATTTCTGTTCTTTCAGTGCCTCCTACACTTTATCCCTCCATCACCTCAGCATGGAGCTCGTGGCTGGAGGGATCACGTTCATTGCCAGCGCAGGGGGAGTGCCTGCAGGGGGACACCTGAGGGCAGCAGGGAAGCTGGCACTCACAGCCCACAGGTGACAGCAGCAGTCTCAGCACAGGGCACTCAGCCCTGGCACAGCCTGCTGGGGGCTGAGCTTTGTCACAGTGCTGTTCCATTCCCATGGAACAACAACATTGTTATAGGGCTTGCCTGATGAGGGCCAGTTCACAGCATGAGTAACACAGCTACCAACAACAGAGAGGTGAAAGAGCACCCAAACCAGGGTGTCAGTGCCAGGAGGGGATTACTGCAGGTGAAGTTCAGCAATAGTGACAGGAGCAATGGGATGTGAAGATGGGGAAGATGCAGACTGAAAACTGGCTGGGGAAAAGTGTTTTCTGGCAGTGAGAATTGGTGGAATTCTTTGTGCTCAGGACTTGCTCTAGTTAGAGATGCTGAGTAATGCTTCTCTACTCAGGGCACCCTGGTGGCCTGCAGACAGCCTGCCAAACAGTCACAGGACACCCAAACCCCCAGGAGAAGGCACAAGGGGCCAAACACTCAACACACTCTCCCATTCAGTAGCCAGGCAAAATGGATAGAGGAAAAATAAGAGTAATACATGGCTGTTCCCAGTTGAACTAAGTCTTAAAAATAAATTGAAAGCACTGTGACAGGGCTGTACAAGACCGTCTCTTGGGCTGATTCTGATAAGGGTAAATACCTAGTACCATAAAAGTTTGAGAAGTACCAACACAGTGGACAGTGGACAGCTGTGGATGACTGTAGGGAAAAAATAAACCATAAGAGAAGATGAATCTATTCAGATTTCTTTGGTCCTTATGATTTTGGACAGGTAAGAAAACAAATAATAGATTACAGACAGATCCAATGCCCTGCATTCATAGATCAACAAACTATATTTCCTTGTCTTCATAAAAGGAGTTTAAAGGGAATTTATGGTCATCTGTGAGAATAGCTGAAAACCTCTCTAGAAAAGAAATACAGTGGGAAAGCCACTGCCTATTAAGTTTCAGATTTACTGTCTA